TTTTGTAATTAGTCGATAGTATTCATTTTGTGTCTATAACTTAACAAACTAAACTTATCTGTTGATAAGTAATATACATATTTATCCACTAAATCACCAAGGTTTATGACGTTAAAGTAATGATGATCATATTTATTTGATTTTGAATTTTTACGGTCAAATGTGATAGGAGTGTATATAACTTTAATTACGTAGAACTATATGTATATACTCACAGCGTTAGGATGGCTAAAAACGTACGTCAAGAAGAAAACTTTGATGTCAACCACTGTACAAAAGAAGCAGCATCTACAGGAAATGCGTCTGCTCTTATGTATTTATACGTCTAATAATTACATAATAAACTGTTTAAACCATTTAACAGTAAATATTATAGGTTTGCACCTACGAAAGAACAAAAAAATGTAGGATTTGCACCAGAGGGACCATCTTGCAGTTACATGCCCACTACTGTTATGTGCGTTGCAAATAGATAATACGTTACAATTTTTTATAATTAACGTTAAATAATAATATCTACAGAATGACACCAACCAAAGACCTAAAAGCACATCACTTAAATTCCGCATCCGATGTAGAAATTGAACATTTGCAAGGCTCAAAAACTGCCAGTAACTCATTAGAGGGAAGACGTATAGTGGATATTGGGTTCCTTTTTAGTCAAATTATAAGTATGGAAGGTCATTCACCTTTCAAATGTTCATGGAGGGAATTTTTAAATGAGAGAAGATTCGGGTTCAGAAGCGTTTTCCAATTCAAATGCAAAATATGCAATAAAGTAGATGAAATTTTTTCTGTACAGAAATCAAATATCAACAAAGCAGCAGTACTAGGCGTTCTCTCCGCTGGAGGTGGATACAGTCTTTTGGAGGAACTCTGTGGGCATATGAATATTCCGTGTCTGTCCCAGAAAACATATGAGAATTGCCACCAAGATGTGTCCACCACCCTACATGCTACTTTATGGGACAATATAAGGCGTGCTGGAGAAGAAGAATATCGACTAGCAGTGGAACTAGGAGAGGTGGATAGTACCGGCATTCCAAATATTGCTGTAGTTGCAGATGGAGCCTGGTGCAAGAGATCCTATAGAACAAATTATGATGCTAGTTCTGGCGTAGGATGCATAATTGGAAAGCGCACTGGCAAACTTCTTTATTTAGGTAACAGCAATAATCAGAATCTATACTCATAGTATGACAGGTTGAAGACAATTTTTTATATAGTTAATACGTGCACATAATTTCTTGAAACTAAAGATTACCTAGACAAAAACATCGAAATTTAATCGATGCATCAGGGTCAAGTACCTATGTAGGAAATTACGACAAAGCCAATCAAAATTGTTTAATTTTGGTCCGAGATTAGCAACTAATATTGGGCCAATCTAAGATAGGGCAGCAATATTGAGACAAGATTTGATGAATAATATTAGCCCAAAATTGGGCAAGGACTTGTTGAAAAATATTGTACCAATGTTTAGTGAACAGTATTAACCAAGCATTAGGTAAATAATATTGCTCTAAAACATGGTGAACAATATTAACTCAATATTGACCAGTTAACATTATGCCAAGACTTGATAAACAAAATTCATCCAAGATTGGGCAACTGCTTCGCTTTCCATCTTGGTCGGTACTTCGTTGCCCAGTATTGGATATAATTTGGGGAGATGTTCATATGCCTAGCCTTGGCACTCGAAGCTTGACCGAACTTTGGTCCAGTACTGACAAACCCATACTTGCCTTCGAAATACTGGTCCAAACTTGGCGAAACGTTAATAAACCTAGTCTTGACATTTGAAGTTTGGTTGAGTATTGTACTACTATTGATAAGCCAGGACTTGGCTACTTCAGTATTGAACCAAACTTGGTAAAACGTTAATGTACTTGATATTGACCGAACTTTGGACCAATATTGACAAAAGTATGCTCCGTTTCTCACTACTGGTCCAGGTTTGGGTCTGTTAAGTCCGGAATTTCCTACATAAGTACATATATGTATGTAGATTAGTCTTGTCATAATAATATCAATAAATCAATCATGTTGTACATTTAGGCATTAGAAATAAGTACTGTACTTTATGTGCAAAATATGAGGGTGAGAAGGACATAGTACAACATAACTGTTGTAAAAATTGGAACGGCAGTTCAAGTAGTATGGAGGCAGATATTATTGCAGAAGGCTTTAAAGACAGTGTAACTATGCACGGCTTAAAATATACAGTTCTTGTTGGAGACGGAGAGAGTAGCGTGTATAGGAAATTGCAGGACTGTAAACCATATGGACATCAAGTCAACATCCGCAAAATTGAATGCCGAAACCACCTTCTGCGAAATTTTTGTAACAAACTTAGAGAAATTACAACCAAGAGGATCAGTTCCGCAAACCAGGTAGTTCCAGTTCGTTTGCGACAATTGCTGCTGTCCAAAGTATTAAAAATTCGTACTGCTGTTGTTTCTGCTATTTCTCACCGAAAAAAATCAAGAAAAACCTATCCACGAAAACATTGAAGGGTTGATAATTGATATAAGAAATACAGTAAGTCATATTTTCGGCGAACATGAAAACTGCAAAGAAATTCAATATTTTTGTGAAGCAGTCTGTGACAAAAATATTGCCGTAGTTGTTGAAATGAAGTCGTGTGGGTTATGGAAAGATATAATGTCCGTAACCAACCGATTAGCATTGCAAGCGTCAAATTTAATTTTGAACATGGACTCCAATATAGCAGAATGCTATAATGCATTAACTTTTCTTTGAGAGGATCATACCAAGCACGCTGCGAAGCGGCAGGTATTTCTTTCAATAGCAAAGGAGAATATGCGAACGTAGTCCATCGTGCGGTCATAAAAAGAAGTCCAGGCAAGTACACAAAAAAATTCACGACCCGAAGGATGACCTTGCGGGATAAACACAAGTGCAGGCGAAATTTATTCAGGAAAATAAAGCGCAATGCAAATCCTACACCGCTCGTTGATCCAGACTATGGTCCAGAAATGTCACAGACCGACATGTGTCCTACTGATTACACAGAAAAAATGGAACATTTCTTAGACACATATACAAATACCTGTGAATCAAATTTCTAATATTGAAATAACGACAAGAGGTCAAAGTAGCAATCCCAATCGGATGCGCAACTACTTCATGTGCAAATACCGTAAAAAGTTTACTGTATTCAACATTTACTGGTAGTGCTGCCACTCATTATGGCAACGAATATGAAACAGTTGCACGTGACGAATTTTCAAAAGTAACAGGGTTAGTATTGGTAAAAGGCATCGATCGTAGCGACACGCCATGACAATAATTCGAATCAATCCTATCGGGTCAAATACGCCACGTTTCCATACGAAAACATGTGTTACAAGTTAATTTTGAAGCAATGTTTTTATCTTTGAGTGAAATTTTGGAGTTCTTGAACTCATCAATAAAAAGCCGTAATTTCGTTGAAGGAGAGAAANTTGAATATCGAGTTGTTTCAGGATTTCGATATCTTTGTGACAACAATTTCTAGGTATTTCTGGGGTTAAAAGCGGTATACTTTTGATTTCGTTGACTTCCTGGTTGTTGTATGATATTTGTAAACCATTGCCAAAATAACAAGTACATTCCTCGTTGATAGTTAAAAGGGATGGTTTTGAAATTAAAGTATGTTTAATTGGGTATCCTTTACACTTGAATGTTACGCTTAAGTTTCCTGTAGAAGCAATGATCCATGTTGTGGCGTTTATCTGTTCGATGTTATTTTCCGTTGCTTTGAATGTGTGGACGACACATTTTTCGGGGAATTCCTTGTTCATTAAGAGTTGCGGTAAGCATTGTTTCGTATTCTTAGTATCTTGGGGTTCTGTATTCTGTTGAATGATGACGTTTTCTATTCGAAGTGCATTTGTAAAATCCCTTGGTTCAAGGTACCATTGGTGGTCGTCGGAGATTGCCACATAAGGGTTTTCAGGAAGAATTACATGGTGGTAATCATTTTCAAATGTAATAGGATAAGGATAGGTTTTAAAAAGTCTGAGTGATATATTTTTTACTAGAGGGACTGTTAACTTTATTAAAATTCCATTTTTTAAGGTAAATAACTTTGGAGTTGTAATTTGGTAATATTTATAGATATTTGTATCATCAAAAGAAAAAGGCAGTATATTTTCGCTGTGGCTAATATGACTTAATTGTTCCTGAAATTGTGCGTGATTGAGAACACTAGGATGAAGGATATTGACTCTAGCAAATGATAAAGTTTCTACAACTTCATCTACTTCTTTGCTTACTTCTGCAGTTATGTCATTTAAAAGGGTAACCGTGTCTAAAATTTGCATTGATGTTATGTTTTCGTTCAACCTGATGGAGTTATAAAAATATGGCCTCTTATGTTTAAAATGCTCCGCTGTAAGGTAATCTCATTAGCGTTAATTCAATTTGGTGTTTTATTAGTGTTAGAAACAATCATTTTAGTTATATGCATTCGTTCATCTTGCAATTCTCCAATTAGCTTCTCGTATCTTTTGGCATTGGTCGAGTCTAATGTGCCGAACAATGTTGAGGATTACATAAATAAAGTAATGACAACAGCTCATAAGCTTACAAATATTAATTTTGTAGTAGGAGATGAGTAGCTTGGTACATTGCTATTGAAAGCTCAAGTGTGTCAGTTACTGCTGATTTTGTAAAAACAGAGCTGTTACAGGAAGTAAAAGTGACAGAGTCTCCAACCTACCATATGAAGTTTAATAAATCTCACAATATGCCAAAGTCTCATAGAAAGATAACAACCAAAAGATATGCCCACGTTGTTACAGTTGTAATAAATATGGTCATTTTAGTAAAAATTGCTACTTTCACAACAAAAAGAAATCACAATCAAATAGCAAAAGTAATGGGTATTATGCTGCTTTTTCAGTTGCAGAAACATTGGACAAGACCAAATGGTACATCGACATTAAAAGGAACATCTTTGCATTGATGACATTTTCTCGCCGGAGCAATCCTGTACGAAATGATATAAACATCACCAAGTATATTTTTGGTTTGGCTCTTCGCTCTATATTCACGATAGAGGTAGAAACTTCCTCGGCCTGCATTGACTATCCAAATCTTTGAAAACATGTACATTTTATCTCCTAAAAATGGTAATGATATTCTGACCGAGGGTTGCATCTTAAACTCAGTTTGGACTAAGACGTGCATCTAAAAGCCCCCTTAAAAAATCGGTCATTTATCTCTCCATATACTTTATTAGGTTGACTGTAAAAGAAAGCGGCTTGGTAGTTGGCAAATGCCACCCGTTCTTGGGTGCCAGTCCAGACGGCATAATTTTAGATGAGGATGCTGTCCTAGAAATCAAATGTCCATTTTCTGCAAAGACCTTACTCCGGTAAATGCAATAACAGAAAAAAAATTAAATTTGCAACAATATCGGAGTTTGGTAATATAGAACTAAAACTAAACCACGACTACTATTACCAGGTACAATATTTACTGTTTTCTACAAAAACTTTCCATTAGGTCTACATCCTTCTTTTATTTCAGGTACAAGGATTGCTACATATAACTCAAAGGAAATATTGTTACTTTGTAATATATACGCCGAAAAAAATGGAATTTATTAAAATATTAAAAGATGAGGATTTCTGGTTGAAGAAAATGGAAAAGAAATTAAAAAATTTTTATTTTTCATTTCTTCTTCCTGAAATTATAGATCCTCGCCATACACGGGGACAAGAAATTCGAAATCCATCTAGAGACTAGACTGAGAAATTGTATATTGCATATTCCTCCCATAATGCGCGGGTGATCTATCATGTGTGTACCATATCTGTTTCTAAGAGCAAGTTGCAAATTATCTAACATTTTTGTCAAATCATTTTGAAGAAAATACAAATATGTGTTTCTGTCTAAAGTCCCGTGAAAAAATATGGTGCAATTATATGTCGTCCAATGATGCCACCCCATACGTTCAAAGACCACCTGCGCTGATTATTCACTGGTCTCAACCAATGGCGATTCTCGGTGTTATAATAATGGCAATGGGCTTGTTCAGAAATCTTTTTTTAATTCATAAATCAAAAAAGTGCAAGTGAAAAATAATAGATCTGCAAAAAAATCAAAATTTTATTTGCACGTTTTAAAAACAATTAGAAAGTGCGTGGCCAGGCGTTACGTCACTTTACGCATAGGCTTGCTGATTGTACGCTACTCAACGCTAGTTAATTATTAGTCGTTACAAGCTGTATTTGCGGAGTATTCGTTGTAGGCATTGACGTATACTAATGGACGTGCCTTAGCGGTCAGAATTGTGGTACGACAAAAGAAAGAGATGGAACGAAGTTTCGGACAATATCTATCTCTCTCACGATAGTGTCGTTGTTAGGACGCCCTGCGCCTGAGTAAATATTGAGTATTACAATAAAAAAGTGTTTAAAACTGCTACCAACCAACAACAGGTATCAATACCCTTATATTATTCGAAAGGAAATTGAATTTGTGAATATTGGCATTGTAAATATTATATGTAGATGATAGGTAATTTCTTCCAGAAACGGAATGTGAAAATCGCAACCCTCTAAGTCCTTTTGTTTCTCACATATTAAAAATGGTACCAAACGTCAAATTTTCCATGAAACGTGAAATAACTCCAGAACTGTGCGACCCTAGGTCCAATAAATGTTACGATAATAAACTGACATTTTTTTATAGGGAATTCCAAAACGCAATATAAAGTAGGTTTCATTTAAAATAACGAACTTACTGTGCATTTCCGGTATAACCGTGTTTGAAAATATTTTTACGTTATTATACACTTAACTCTATACAAATTTTACTTGAAATATTTTGAACTATATGTGTATGATTTGTCGATTTCAACTTAGTATGTTAATATTACATTAATAATCGTCTGAAACTATGACGGAATATATTAGAAAGCACGTGCACGAAAATGATTAACTAATTATAAAACAAAAGAAAAATAAAAATTTAAGATAGTTGTTCAGATTGTCTTCCATTTGCTTGCAGACATATTAGAAATTCATACATTTCTGTAATTGTTGCTTTTCTGACGTTATCTTGGAACGCCCAGCTTTTAGTATTCCCCACAAAAAGAAGTCCAAGGGAGCAAGTTCTGGACTTCTTGCAGGTCACAGCCAAGGCTCGTACTTATCAAACCATCTATCACATACCAACAGACTGAATTTCTTAACGATAGATCATCTAAAAAATTATCAACAACTGTACTTAAAATTTGTAAATAACGCTGTAAAATTAAACTGTCGTCGCATATACACTAACAAAATCGATTATTTTTGAAAATACAAAACGCATTAAAACTAGAGTTATCTTGAAATGTACGTTCTCTGGTGGCATAAGGGTATTCATTTGTCTAAATATGCTTCCTATAACTATTAAAGACACTTTCTCTTGAAAATATTGATTCGTCCGACCAGATAATTCTTGTTAAAAAAGTTTGCGGATGCAGATACTGGACTTTGATAAACTTCTAGGCATGCATCTTATGTTTCCATAATATTCTTTCTGTTACAGCGTTAATAACAGAAGCACGTACGTTCGCAACAAAAAATGCAAGAACAACACGTTTAACACTGGTATTCAGAGCTTGGAAAGATATTCCTCATAATTGTGTCAAATTTTTGCCTATTAATGAAAGCTACATGAGAATAGAGTTCATTAAATCTTCTGCATTCTTTGTTGCATTCTCCATAAACACATTATACATTCATTAAATCCGAATGGGATCATTTTTGCAACATAAATAAACGAAGGATGAGTCTTTAATTTTTAATAATTGCGTCAGTTGTCCATAGCACACTTTTGTTATGTTATAATTAGTAGAATTATCTATTATTGATAAAAATTCAAATTTATTCAAAAATTTTCGAAACAAGCATTAGGAAACATCTGCGTGGATGGAAAGAGGCTAAAAAGAGGAAATAAAATATCTCGTACACGCTTAGTTTCCCTAAAACGTCTAATGTATCACTCACAATCAGTTTGAAGAACTTTGTATATTATAGTGGTGTTACTCCGAGTTTATTGAAATATTGTTTAAACGCATTTTCTTTTATACGTTCGACGTCTGAATTTGTTAGAATACTTTGAAAAATCAAGAAAAGGCTAAGATAATTTATTAAATGAACAAAAACTTTATCAATACACCTATAATAGATACCAGAGCTGTACTAGCTACTTATTAAAATACAATTCATAGTAATTAGCAATTAGGGCTTTTCCCGACTATATAAATTTAAGTATAAATAGATGAAACATTATTAATATAAATAATATCTTGCTACTCTTTGTAAAATTTTAATTATACTGAAACACTAATAGAGTTCAAATAAATTCTATTCTTAAAACATTTAAATGCATTACTATCTGTATCTGTAGTTACCAAAAAGAATGTTCAAATGTTCGGTGAATTATACAACAAAAAAAGAATCGTTGATATATTTATGATTGTAGTTGTTTATTACAGGACAAAGTAAACAGGACAAAAGTGATGGAAGCTCTTCTAGATCACGCTAAATCTGCTAACGATAAACAATTCATCTTTTTAACGCCTCAGGATATTTCATTTATAAATGACGAAGAAGTTGCAATTCATAGGTAATATAACTAGTATACAGGGGGTAACTGAAATAAGTGTGGAACTTTGGAGGTTGTCAACTCGTGCAATAAGGAATCGCATGGTGATCACAGTGATTGATTGGAAAATTTAAAAGAAAACCGCAAGTTATAAACCGAATCCGGCCCTGGGAATGATTTGGCAATGTGAGCGTGGTAGAACTAAATCAGCTTTGGGTTGGACAAACTAAATAATATCGCTTGTCTAATGCCTAAAGCGAACATAATCAACAAACAACTTAATGTTTACTTACCGACAAGTCATTGGTTCCGGGAACACCAGTAAACACACGCGCACACGCTATTGAAATTGTTTGAAATTAAAACCGCAGCGCAGAAGTCAGGCATGTGGCGAATTTCATTTGCAGCATTCATCAGTTCATCACACAGTCCTGCACGTCATTAGCATGTGTACTGACGTTTAATACATTCCCTGTTTTATACAACCCCATATAAAGAAGCTCTGTAGATTTAGATCCGGATGTAAGCATCACGTTATGGGAAAAACTGACGTCTGAACCCATTTTTGTTTTGCCGAAGCTTCTAATACAAATCCACTTGCGACTAAAAATAAATTTTCTTCAAGGATTGTATTAGCTGCAATTAAGTAAGCTGCAGAAACAGTTTCTTTAAAATTCGCTACAGTGTCACATGAAAGGAGCCAACGTTCGACTCTATTTCGCGTGTATGTACTATTTGAGAGAATAGATGTAATACTAATAACAATAGCTGTTCTACAGTGATACACTGACCTAATGTCAATGACTTATACTACTAATTACGAAGTGATTGAATAAGACGTTGCGTTGTCGTATTTCTCTGTGTGATTTACCAGTGCCAAACTGGCCCTTACCTGCACATTCGAATAGGTACATTTTTCTCGAAAATAGTGAACATTCGGGCTTTCAAAAAGTTACCTAATTTTCTTATTTAGTAGCTCCCTACCACCTGTAAGTTCTGCACTTATTTTAGTTACATTATGTATAACTAATTTTAAGAATTGTCATAACTATATTTTATTATTTTGTAGGATGGAAGATCCTGAAAGATCACCAGTGATCTAAATTAAAAGTTAAAACAAAAGAAGAAAAAATGAGAGGAGAGGAGTCAAGTATAGTTTTTCTATATTAAAAATTAGTTATATCTCTTAAGTCATGATTTTTTATTTTTTGTTTTTTTTTTATTGGAAATAGATAGTGACTGTATTGTAGTGTTTATTTTTTTAATATAATACTGATGTACGTTTTTATATTATGTTCCGCTTTTCCGCCTATTGGGATTAAAAATAAAAAATTTTTTTTTCCTTCCAAAATTCGAAACAAACACTTTGTGCAAGTTAATTATCCGATAATCACGTACCTATGCGGACCTGAAATTACCTAATGTTTTTGTGATTAAAACCCAGCAAACATCGTGACACAAAGTGTTTCTAAAATATGTGGGGAGCATTGGAGGGTGTAAGGAATCGCATGGTGAGTAAAGTAGCGTAGTTAAAGGAACAAACAAGTTTGTAATAAAACCGCAACAAATTACAATTCGAGGGTAGTCCATGTTAAGGTATCTGTTGTCTGAACTTAGTCAGACGTAAAATGAAAGTGATGGTAGATATACAAATTCGTTACGAGGGTTAAAATAAGTTCAGAATTCGAATAATGCGTAAGGTATTAAGTTACCAAAATAGCGAAACTGTGTGCCCGTGGCTTTACCTTCTCTCGGAGTGTCATTGGCTTCTGGAACATCTGAGTTTGTTGACAACATGACAGGAAGAACGACAACTACGACCGTATGCACAGGAGCGGGATGTAGGGATGGACGGCACGCTTCGCACACGGTTACCAGAAGCGCCGGTAGGACCATCAACAGGATAACGAATGATGGCGCCTTGAAGATTCTAAGGCTTTCGGAGACGACGGCGTGTGCGGTACTACACGAATAAGGTTCATGGAAAAACCAGTTACACCAAGTATGACGATGGGAGACTTCAGCATATGCACCACTCAAAAACTTATTACCCTCGGCAGGTGACAACAATCAGTCAGGTGATTACCGGCCGGATATCAGCGTCTCCCAGACGAACGGCGATGAACCGACTTGAACGGAGCAGACAACGAACAGACTCCGGTGGAATCAGGTATATCCTGAAGTTACGGGAAAGGAAAATTCCGTAAAGGATGCTATTTTGAACTATCTCGAATGCCAGTATTAGGACTGCATCCAATCAAGCAGGTATAAAAAGGCTATCTCGAACGCCAGTACGATGACCGCATCCAATCAAACAAAGGTAGAGAGCCACAATATGCAACTCCCAACGGATAGTCTCCCTCTTCCTTGCCATAGCAGATGGAATGTCGGAGACTCCTTTCCATAGATCCTGTGGGATTTGTATACTCAAAAATCCTTCCCTTTCCAATGCGCGACTTCGCGGTTCGCAAGGCAAGGGTTTCCCTTTGCGTTTCAACCGCTATCCTATGTCTACAAACAATATCAAGGGTAGCAACGATTTTCTATCCTGCTTCCTAACCTGTAACACCGCTAAAGCCTTCCTTCGACGGACTTCTACTAAACTAAAACAATCACGATAATCCCTATAGAGTCAGCATTCTACATAGCGCGGAGATTTTAGAATTCGAAAACGATTAGTATACCAATTGATGACTTTACATGATTGGGGTTGGGGAAGTTTCCTACAAGTGACGCGTGATACTTAGGCTCAATTATGGAAATTATTACGTCTCAACTTTTTCTTTTAAGTAATCTGAGTGAAAATGAATAAAACTAAATTTTCGTAATCGTATCCCCAATAAGTCCATACCTACTTAACCATGAATATTCTGATTGGCTAATTCCTTGGGTGCGAGCTTTGCTATGGAGCTATTTATTTTGGTGGCTGCTAGTTAAGTAGCAAAAACATATTATTAATTCTTTAACTTTGTTAATTGTTTCTGTACAGCGTGCTTTTCTCAATAAGACAGCTGCTAAGTTTTTTAACGTTTATTCTTTCAAAGATTATTACAAAAGTTATACATTTAGTACCGCGGGAATAATACGGGTTACATTAACGAATACAAACAGGCGAATGAATGAATCATTATTAAACCTATTACTAGCAGCGAAAAACCAGTCGCTGAAACAATAACATAAACAATGTCGCGACAGCGATTAACACGAACAAATAATCTGTAAGTTTTAAAATGTAACAAATTATAATATGAATAACACCTGAAAATTGCACATTTCCTCCCCCACCTTGACAAATGTCAACTAATCAGTAGTGCAGCTAAACATTATGAATAAAAATTTAGAAAATTCTACAACAATAAACATGCGAACAAAACTCAAAATTAGAGCAAACATGCAAAATCTCTGGTATTTAACTTTCAGTTGCGCACTTCACTGCACTTAACAGTCCGTAATCACAGCCTGTTCTCTGGGAAGAACGGCTAATTTTCTGATTGAACGTTTGTATATCCCTTGGCCGGTGCGCACAGATGCTACTCGGACCACACCATCCGACCCTGGGAAAACCTCTTCGATTCTCGCCAGTTTCTATGCTAAAGGTGGTATGTTATCCTCCGAAAATCCGATATTTTCTTTCGTATTCAATAGGCGCGTTGTGCAATCTGCATCCAACTCTCAGCAATCCGCGTTTATCCAAAAACGGGTCTAGGTTAAATATTTTGCTCGATTTACTCACTGGATTGGTTTTGGACAATGAAGCGATTTCTGGTTGGAATTCTTCCGCTTGGATCTGTTTTAAAATCAATATTTCGCTTCGGTCAACTCTTCTGTCGTCAAACTCCCAACTCGCTTATTGTTCTTGTTTTTCAAGTTATGTGAAAATCGCAACACATAGGCAACAATTCCTTGCATCTTAGAAATGGATGAATATATTTAGAAAAATCAATCATGTTGACTTCCATTGCTGTTACCAGGACAACCTTTCTTTTCTCTGACAGGTCATTCGCATCCAGTGACTTATTTGATTTTGATTTTGGCCACTCTGATTGTTCATGAGTTAGAAATTCGGGACCTTTCCAATACAGTTCTGAAACCATGAGTTGTCTGGGAAAAGCTCCCCTTGAGACGATATTGGGTTTTGAATCCACATGATACCAGTTTCGGATGTCGCTTAAATTTTGAATTTGGGAAATCCTATTTCCAACAAACACTTGCCAAATATTCGCATTAGACTTTATATAATGCAATACTATTTCTGAGTCCGAAAAGTAGTATTTGTTTCTGATTTTCAACTTTAACGCTTGTGATACCCTATTCATTAATTTTACCCCTAAAACAGCAGCGCAAAGTTCGAGGCGTGGCAAGGTAATCACCTTCACTGGACTCACTTTGGACTTGCTACAAACCATGTAAGACTCATAGCTTCCGTCACTCAATCTCGTACGGACGTAAATGCTCGCTCCATACGCTTGCAATGAGGCGTCGCAAAACATAATCAAATCGTGAACTCCGCTTGAGACGGGTAGCACTTTACGAGGTATTACTAGCGAGTTTAACTCCTCAAGCTCTTCAAGATATCTTTCCCAAACTCTCCGGACCTCTGGGGGAACTTCATCATCTGAATTTAGCTTGCATGCTTATAATTCTTTCATTATTAATTTAGCCTTGACAATAACCGGGGAAACAATTCCAATGGGATCGAATAGTTTCGCTACCGAACTAAGTATCGATCTTTTCGTAATCTTAGAATGTGATGTGCGGACAGATACTCTGAAATATAAGGTGTCTTCCCTGAAGTTCCATATTAAGCCTAACACTTTGGATGTGTCAGCTTTATCCTGTTCGATCGCGTTTCGGTCTTCATCTCCTTGTTCCAAAGGTAATGGTATTAGTCTTGAATCGTTGCTAGCCCATTTTGACAGTTTAAATCCTCCTCCATTTAGGACTTCAATTAATTCGTCTCTCAATTTTAACGCATCTTGAATAGTCGATCCGCCACTCAAGACGTCGTCCATATAAACATCTCTTTCGAGGGTTTCGCTTGCCAGTGGGAAATTTTCCGCCGAGTCCGTGGCTAACTGCCTTACACACCTCATGGCTGTAAATGGGGAGTTTGTTAAGCCAAAGACCAGCCTTGTCAGTCGGTAAATTTGAACCGATTAGCTCTCCGAATTTCTCCAGAAAAGTCTCTGATAATTCGTGTCTTCAGGATTTATTTTGACCTGTAGAAACATTTTCTCCATGTCGCATGAGAAGGCAATTTGATGCATTCTGAAGCATATGAGCAGAGAAAATAATTCTGTTTGTAAATTCGGGCCCGTCATCAAATTGTCGTTTAGGCTCAACCCGTTGGTCGACTTTGCCGAACCATCATACACTATTCGTATCTTTACTTTTTGTCTGGCTTCTTTTACTATGCCCGAAAGCGGCAAATAGTAAGTGGAATCATGAGTGACTTTGCCTTCTGGTACTCTTTCCACAATATTCGACTGAATGAGCTCTTGCATGGCGTTTGAGTACAAATCTTTGAATTTACGATCCCTTTTGAATCTCCTTTCCAATGACAAGAATCTTCTGAGCGCAACTCCGCTTGAGTCGCCTAATTCTACGTTTCCTTTCTTGAATGGTAACTTCATGACAAATCTACCGTCCGATGGATCACGCATGTACGTGTTTTTAAACTGTTCTTCACATTCTATTTCCTCTTTAGACCACTTTTCCTTGGATTCTGGGATTTCTTCCTGAATCCAGAATTTTTCCATGAGTCGTTGAAGTTCGTCGCTTTAATCCTTTATGGCCAGGTTCGCGACTCGATTTCCGGATCGTCCCGAATTCTCGAAATTATAAGATGCTCCCCCAACTACCCAACCTAACAATGTTTTTGTAAGGAACAAGTTAGGATTCGACAGTCTCCTGCGATCGTCGCACAATAAATCCCAAAATACTTCAGCCCCTAATAATAAATCAACAGGACGACTTGTGTTGAAATCTGGATCCGCTAAATAGATGTCTGACGGAATGGAAAGGTATTCGGTATTGAATGAAACGATGGGCAAATTTGAAGTTACACGTTCTATGATACAACAAGTAACGGGCATTTTAAATTTGGAATCAGACGACCTGATCCATATTTCGACTGATTTTGAAATTTTGGTGCACGTGTGATTAATTCCCGATACGGAAATAGTCGGGTTTAGGCCCAGTCGTTTACATGTACCTGTCGACATTGAGTTTATTTGCGATCCGGCGTAAAAGCGCGCGACATTCTTGATATTGACCACCACAATGTTTTATCCAAATAAGCGCTGTCGATAAAATAACGTGTGTATCGCCTTTTGATTTAAAGTGATTTACTGTAGCATTAACCTTGGTTTCTGGTTTTGATTTGTTAGCAAAGCCGTGATTCGGGGAATCAGATTCCGAACTATTTTTAGCGCTCCTATCATGTAACAATGTATGATGTGTGATTATGATTTACAAATGCTGCAACCTTTTGCTCTACACGCGTTTGTCGTATGATTCTTCCTCAAGCAGTTAAGACAAAGATTCTTATTCTTTACCTCCTTGATCCTATCGCCGATACTTAAACGCAAAAAATCTCCGCATTGGTTTACAAAATGTCTTTTGTCGCAATATCTACACGCTAATCTCGTCGTAACAACGTGAGAAGATCGCTTCGTATAATCTTTTTTGATCTGCGTTGACTCAGGCTTTGACGATTTAGAACCCCCTTGAATGCACTGAAGAGTGACACATCTCTTCTCTAAAAATTCCAAAATATCCTTCAACTTTGGAACGCTCGAGTCTAATGTAAGTTCTAGTTCTTTCCTCGACTGATAATCTATACGACTTATTATCAGAGGGACAAGAAAAGCATCCCAAGAATCTACTTGAATCTGCATTGCCTTTAATGCCTCTAAATTCGCAGAAATGTCGTTCACTAATTTTCTCAAGCCCTCCGTCGATGGCTTCGATAATTCGGGCGTATTTAGAATCGAATTTACGTGACTGTATACTATCAGCCTATCATTTTTATATCTCCTTTGCAGTATGGACCACGCAGACTGATAATTATTAGCGGTGATTGCCAATGATTCAATCGGACGAGCCGCTTCACCCCCCAAAAATTTTAAGTAATGAAACTTTTGACAGTCATCTAACGTATAGTTATTATGAATGAGGCTGTCAAACGCATTGTAAAAGGGTAACCATTCCGTATATTCTCCCGAAAATTGAGGTAAATTGATTCGTGGAAGTCTCACATTAAACTGACTAGGATTTGACGCCTGGACAGAACCCGCCACGGGCACGTTTGCACTAGGTGCCACTGATAACCTTTGAAAAACCCTTTGGAGGTCGCTCATAATTTTCAACCAATCAGTATCGAATTTGTTTAGAGCCGACATTTCGTTTTCTCCTATCGATTCTGTAGGATTCGGATCCTGTTTTTGTTCCGACATAGATTCGTCTGCGATTTCTAATCTGACTATCTCAAAGATTACCTCTTCGTAATCGTCTCGAATTTTAGGCATTTCAGCCAAGCGAACCTGAATATCTTTGATATCATGCTTAAACGAGTCGAATTGTTGCGCAAATAATCCGATATTATTTAATTTTCCCTATAAATGAGAACGCTTAACGAGCAATTTCTTCAATTCCGCCAACGACATTTTAATTTATCAGTACAACGTACAATTTAAGCTCAAACAAAGCTGTCACACTTAGATAACCAAAGGACAGTTAGAAAAAAGGATGCTCACTAACCTTTTCAGCAAGCCGCTTTCCCGATTTCCCCGCTTCCTGCCTCTGGATCTCAACCGCCTGTACTCTCTTCAGTCGGTCTGCTTTTCGATTTCGCCGCCGCACTCTGAAGACAGTTCGAATTTTTCGATTTTTCCCACGGTCACCTAGCACTGTATTTACCGGAAGTATAGCCGTTATCACTACCCTATCCGGCTTGAAGGACCAATGTACAGCGTGCTTTTCTCAATAAGAGAGCTGCTAAGTTTTTTAACGTTTAGTCTTTCAAAGATTATTACAAAAGTTGTACATTTAGTACCGCGGGAATAATCCGGGTTACATTAACGAATTCAAGCAGGCGAATGAATCATTATTAGACCTATTACTAGCAGCGAAAAACCAGTCGCTGAAACAATAACATAAACAATGTCGCGACAGTGATAAACACGAACAAATAATCTGTAAGTTTTAAAATGTAACAAATTATAATATGAATTATACTTGAAAATTGCACACTTTCAATTAGTAAAAACCTTTTGAAACTTTCGCAGGCATACAATGGGTGTGCAACCTTACATAATACACCTGTATGACCGCATATAATTTTATATTATAATTCCTTACGGGAATGTTCTTAATTGAAAAAATTATTATTTGCTTTCTCATTATTAGAAAAATTATCAATAACTGTTTTTTGTGAAAATTTAGAATGATTTTCTAAATGGGCCCAATACTATATGTTTTCTCCAAGTACTTCAAGTGCTAAATTTTAAAGGACGGTTTACTCGTTCTTTTTGTGATTTATGTAAGTTACTTGTATGATGCTTTAGCAACGCAGTTGAGTTTTCATACCACGATTTTAATTTGTTTCAAGCAATGGTATAATTTACGTCTGATAAGCCAAACTCTTCGACAGTTATATAATTTTTTAAATAATTACATTTATCAACATTATCCAGATTTATATTTTTGTGAATCATAAATACAAAAGAATTGTGAAATTTTAACCCGTTATCTTATGTATATTAAGCGCAGGTAACCCTAATGTCCAGTTATTTTATGCTCTTACGTGCAATTCGAGTTTCGTCCGTTGTTTGCGATGTAAATTGTAATGTTTGTGCACTTATTAATTGTGTTTAAAAAAAATTCTGCGGCTTTGAAACTGCATGAAAATAACTGTGAGCACACTCGGTATATCATTATCATAATTCAAAAGTGTAACATTTAATATGTGACTCATTTTTATGCTGGCATAGAAAAATCTCGACACAGTGCGACAACTAGGTCAGAGATATTTCACAAACAAGTGTAACTTGCTGATCTAACTTTAGTGCAAAACCATCGGATGCTGCAGTAGTGTCAATTCAAGATAGATGCTGGAAAGTGTCCAACGTTATTATAAAATCGGTTCATATCAGAACAGCAATTTCGCTGGTCATAAATCACTGCAGTAGTGACCCCGACTAAGGAACAATCGACTACAGTAATGAACTACATTGGTGCCTACAGGGTGAACCTTTCTCTTTGAAGGATAGATTCTCCAAAGGGTACAATTAAGTTAGCACAAATAAGTTTATATGTATTGCAATGTTACATATTAACTTAATGCTAGATGTCATTACGATATCTGTAGTGATGTATTGCACTAGTTGGTTCCTAGCCATTTGGGTACAGTAGCTATTGAGTTGAAAGTGTTAGTGAAGTTGGTGATGCCTCTTGGTGTAGTTATTCTTCACTGTATTGTCGGATGCCCGAGACGTGTTCGACAGATATGTTCCTTGACCACCGTATCGTGTCCGCAACCATAAGACGTCTCACTGGTTTTGCATAGTCTTTTCGAATATCCAGTATTTTTTCAGGATTCTCTCATTCTCCTGGTCCCCACGTGCCAAGAGCCCCAAATCAGTTCTTTCTAATAAGGATTACTTAATGACGATACGGCGCCGATACTACGTACCTACCTATGGACTAAGCCCATCAGTATGTTGTCAAAATTTTTTTCTTGCTATGTTCCTGCAGTTTCTAATTCGGACATCTATTTTTAAAGAAAAAATTAAATGAACAAGTCTTGGTTATTTACAATTTCATGAAAGCCTCAATCATTTATTTAGAACCAGCTCTGTTAAAATAGAGCTACAACACCTCTCATAGCTATTCCGAACACCTAGTAGTAGAATTTGTCTTTATATAGGGAGCAATGTTATTACAATTATCTGAAATTATGGTAGCTAATAATTCTGTTGGGATGTTGGTAAAAAAGGAACTGGTATCATAGCTAACAGAAATGTAATTGTCAGGGACTACTATGATAAACAACTTATTGATCAGTTCGAAGGAATTTTTAAAATTAAGTTCTGGATTTTTTGGGGTTCCAAGTTTTTGTTGATGAACTTCTTCTAGGACTAACTACAGTTGAAATTATAGGGGTTATGGGAAGATTATGGATTTTCGATAAGCCGTAGATGTTTGCTGCAATGGGATAGCGAATCTAATAGCAAATTTTGAAATCTCTAACACGCTTAGTTTTCCTAAAATGTCTAATCTACCACTCAGTTAAAAGAATTCTGTACGGCTTAGGTACAACTTTTATTAATGAAGTGCTTAATTTTGATAAACGTTTGTGGTCTTTATTTAAACAAAGTGTTCCCATATAATTTTGATTAATGATATCAGTTAATTTATTACTTCCCGTGTTAGCTGTACCATTTATTTGGATGTTTGGGTTACCGTGAACTGATAAGAGCTGTTCGGCAGCCCTGTGAACCGATTCATACTTTTCTCATTGTGTATTTCTTATTATATTCATTCTACATTCGTCATTGTCATGATAAAGTTGTACACGAGTTACTTTAATAAACTTCTAAAATAACGCCTGCGTTTGGCCATTCTGATTGCAACAGTTTTAGAAGTGGGATTAACAAAATCCAAAGTATTCGTGTGTGGTGGTTTTCATTAAATTACTGGGTTTTGTTTATTGGAAACGGATCTTAGTGTTGATCTGCGCGCGTAGAGAGCGATTCCTACTGATAGATCGTAACACGGGAAGAACTGTTATAAATAAAATGTCAACCGGGAGATTACCTGAAAACACATCAGCGGCGATGGAGACGGCAACAAGTAGTGAGGATCGAGAAACAGGTCAGCGATTTTTTCCAAATATTCAAAGTGTTTTACCGGAATTTGATCCTGTCAAAGACAACGTTTCCATTGACCAATGGATCGCTAAGATCGAAGAGTACGGCGAATTGTATAAAGAGATGAAGTTACCATCAAACATTACGGGTTGTTACAATTAATTGGAGTGGCGAAAACGTGGCTTCACAGTCTAAGCCCCGACGCAA